TCTATATAATATAATGAAATAGTATAATTAATAAACATAGCAGGAACTGTCTTGTGTATACACAAAGAGGTCTATTACATTATTAGATTAGTGTGTGTTACATTAGTGAGTGTATTACCTAACCATTACTGATTGTGTGTATGTACTTATGATTGCTGTACTACAATGGATTCTGTTATGATTGTGAAAAGGTTTCATCAAAACAATAGATGGTTAGGAATATCATTAGCTGCTAATACATGAAATGGAATTATTTATTGGCTGGCAAGCATGAGTGTACCTCACATAAGTGAAACATGTGTTTGGTACATGTACATGTACATGTATGTGTTAATACCTTGTATTCTTCTCTTCTGATATTCATTAATGTCCAGTACTGACTGTACTAGCAAATCACCAGTACTAGATACTAATAATAATAATAATAATAATACTAATAATAATAATAATAATAATAATAATAACAACAATAATAATTTTTAAAATAATAATAATTACTAGTGGGTGTGATAAAAGTGGCCCAGCCCACAAATGAACTAACTATACTTCGTGTTTCAAAATCCAAAAAATGTAAATTTAATTTTAGTAGGTGCATACAATCACACAAAGCCACACCCCTCACTCATTCTTCAATGTAATACCGTATACCGGTTTATTTTTGTGGTAAAATATTTTCGAAAATTTTGTGGTTTGTGATCATTTGCAAAATTTTTCACTGCTAATTTCTGCTCTCCATTGCCACGTGGTGCAGTCTGCAAGCAATTCACAAAAATTAATTCCACAAAATCTTAGAAATGTTAGATTCACGAAAACAGCAACAGTCACCCTGCCCACAAATAATCCAAAATAATTCAAAATCCAAAAAATGGTAAAATTTAATTTTGTGGGAGTGTACAATCACACATAAAGCCACACCCCTCACTCATTCTTTATTGTAATATTATTATTATTACATATTCAATACATATTGTATCTACTAATGTATACATGTACTCACTCATTTCAATAAATCTTGTATCACTGATAAAACCATCTCTCCTTCCTCCAAACTCAATTATCCAGTGAGTGGTCTGTGTCTCATTCCAAACTGAGAGAGAATGATAATATCTATCAGTGACACTGTCTGGTATATTAGTCTATATAATTAAAAATAATGATAAAATATATTATCTGGTTAATAAAAATGATTTCTCTCCTCCTCCTCCTCCTTTCTCCTCCATTGTCAATCACACTCACAAAAATGACAACAAAGGCAAGCTTCATGAGCTCTTTCTTAAAAACTACTCATAGCATAATCTTTCATTTCTTTATCATATGCACATGTCTATACTGACCAGTTGTACTGTATTAAATTGATTATCATTGAGGAGTGACGTACATGTACAGACAGACAGATCACAGTGGTCTCGTACTAGTAGGACTCACTCATGCTCACCACAATTATATTATAATACTTACCAGTTCTTTCCATTCCATTTTGTTTATATTTAACAACCAACAGTCACTGGTACCCCCACCCACCACTAGTAGGTGTGGTCCTGAGCTACAGTTGATCAATACACTGGAATGAGAACGTCTCTCCTCAGGCCATTGTACTGATCCTCCAGGATTAGAAAACTTTTTACATTTCTAAAATAATGAAAATACTTAATTATCATAAACTCCACCCACACACTCTGTTATGAATAATAATACACACATACAATACATTATTAATTAATAATTAATGTAATTATACTAATAATACACTCACCACTGATGTATCAGTAAATTCAAATACATATACATCATTACTGTATCTATCATCACCAGTCTCACCACCAAACAATATAGCAGTGGTATTAGTTATTGATGTTAAAGTGAATTTTTGAATAGGAGGTGGTCTGTCTCCAGTGACAGTTGGCGAAGTCCATTCACCTAAAAATAATATGAACACACACACACTGTGAATTAATCATAATGGACAGATGGTTGTACGTAATTTTTGAAAAATTCTTAGCAAAACTCAAAAATTAATTTTATCATCAAACTAAATTTATAAACCTAATATTATTTTACTGACCAGTTTTTAATCTGTACATATGTACTTCGTTGCAATGTTGACTACCATAAGTATCTTTACTGTACTGGGCACCAGGTTGTGGTGGAGTATTAGAAGATGATACCTTTCCACCAATAACAACAAGATAGTCCTCGTCATTCACTTTTATTGCTATCATGCCAGGGAAGTACTTCATCATAGGACCATGATGAGATGTAGTAGGAGAGAGTTCCTTCCAATTGAAGGTATCAACATTAAAACTGTATAAAATATTATATAATATTTATCAGTAACTATTATGGTTACCTGTATAAACTATTATGATAACAGCCACTATGACCACAAAAGCCTCCAAAGAAGAATATTTCATTTCTAATGACAGCAGCAGCATGTCCACAGACACCAAGTGGAGGGTCACCAGTGGTAGGCTTTTGTACCCACTCACCAGTTGGTAGGTGACAGACCTCCATTACAGAATACATTGATTTCTTCTTCTCATTATTGTGTACTCCAGGGCGACCAGGCTGGTCCCCACCCCACATGTAGAGGTAGTCTCCTACCTGTACTGTAGAGTGCTCGCTCCTCTTCACTGGTTGATAGACTATAGATAACAAGAGGACACAGTAATATAGTGAATAGTTATAATAAGGAGAGGATACAGAGGAGTAAAGTAAGGGAGAGAATAAGAAAGAAAGAGATATAAAGAGAAGAAAATAAAGACACTCAC